GATACAAATTACATACTGATGAAATACGAATAATATTTTTTGATCGTAGCGACATAATAGAAAAAACTGAACTGGTTATTTGAATAAAAAATCATGAGTGTAATTAGTTTAATTTAAATTTTCGTGTTTTTAAAATATACTAAAAAAAGGGCACGAAAAAATAGATTTTCTCAAAAAAGAAAGGAACTTAAAATTAAAAAAAGTCGGTCGGTCGGTCTAGGCTCGAACCACGGAATTACGATTTTGTGACCGCCCAATATACCAATTAAGCTATCCTAAAAACACAGACAAAAAGACATTTTCTAAAAATAAATCCTAGCTAGATCGATTTATTGCCCCCGAAACTCCCTGCACACAAAATTTTATGAAAATTGTTGGAGCCGTTTCCGAGATTCCGATTATATATATATATATATATATATATATATATATATATATATATATATATATATAATATTATATATATATATATATATATATATATATATATAGACTTTTCAGATATATATATATATATATATATATATATATATATATATATATATATATATATATATATATATATATATATATACAAGAATTGCTCGTTTAAAGGTATAGGATACATCACTTGCAACAAAATTTAATCAAAAAGTCAAAAATAATCTTAAGGAAACTATGAGAGAGGTGAAATCGGATCATGCTTTATTAGTTCTTACTTGGACACAATAAGGTCATAACATAATAATAACGGGTGATATTAATATAAACCTAATTCCTAAGCAAAACGAAGGATCGAATGAAACTAATTATAGGGATAATTATTTGAATACGTTGTCAACTCATGGAATGCTACCTGGTCACTCTCTACCCATTTTATGTATAAATTAGACAAAAGAAAATTTTCTTCGCACATAGCAATCTTAAATACAAGTACTACTGATTATTCAACCATTTTTTTGAAATTAAGTAAAATAAAACAAAAGCAAAATGTATCGAAAACAGTAGAATTTGTGGACTACGAAAGAGCGCTCTCAATATTAATGCAGAAGAATATCTCTACATTATTATTTTGTGACGACCCGGATGTAGTTGCCGAAAAACTTATAAAAATTATCTGAATCCTTAACAGAGAGTAAAATTACAAAAAGAAAGCCAAAATCACAACGCACCATTAAACCTTGGATTACACCTGGTGTTTTAAGGTGCATTAGAAACAGAAATAAAATGCAAATGCAACTGAGTTCGGATCCTCACATGTAATTTTAGTAATTACCTATAAAAGGTACAAAAATTTCTGTAACAACCTACTAAAAAAACTTAAAAGAAAATTCGAGAGAGAACAATTAAATAAAGCAAATAAGAATTTAAAATTATTTTGGAAAACAATTAAAGAAATAACAAATCTAAAACCTAATAAGACCATCAATTCTGTTTTAAATATTAAATTAAACCCCTATGATTCAGTTAACCATGTTAACGACTATTTTTCAAACATCGGTAGAAAGCTTGCTGAGGATATGCAAAAATATGACACCTGTCCTGGACCTGACAGCCTACATAAGCTTAAATCACATTTATCATCATTAGCCTTATTAGAAACTGATCCACTAGAAATTGATAATCCTGTCAGATCTTAAGTCAAATAGTGTACCTGGCTGGGATAATATCTCTACTCAGTTTCTAAAGTATTCTAAGTCCCTCGTAGTTCTCGTGATAAGACATTTGACTAATTTCTGCTTCCAAAAGGGTATTTTTCCGTCTTATCTCAAAAAATCTTTAGTGATTCCATTGCACAAGGGTGGAGGAATAGATGTTGTCAATAACTACAGGCCCATTTCAGTTTTGTCTGCCGTTTCTAAAATAATAAAAAAGTTAATAAATAAACTATCAATTACCTTGAAAGCTTTAATCTTCTTTCAGATAACCAATTTGGGTTTACGCGGTAAGTCGACAGAAGATGCAGTTGTAGCAATAACATCTCATATAACTGAACAACTAGATCAAGGCCGTAAATGTTTGGCTATATTTTTGGACCTTAAGAAAGCCTTTGACACTGTTTTGTCTTCGATCCTTGTACGGAAATTGGAAGCAATCGGTGTAAGGGGTATCCCGCTGAATTTATTCAAGGATTACCTGAGGGAATGTAAGCAACAAGTAAAAATAGGTGACTACATTAGTGAAGAATCACCGCTTACCTTTGGTGTTCCACAGGGAAGTGTACTATGTCCTACATTGTTCCTTATTTATATAAATACATTAACTAACCTAAATTTATTTGACGGTCGAGTATTTTCTTATGCCGATGACACCGCAATAGTTTTTACGGGAAAGAATTGGAACTCGGTATTTAGACATGCTGAATCTGGTCTATTAATAGTTTCAAAATGGCTCCAGAGTAACCTTCTTTCCTTAAATATTGCAAAAACTAAATATGTATGCTTTACGATTAATAATAGAATGGAACCAAATAATAACAATAGTTCAAAAATACATTATTGTGGTATTTCTAGTAGTTCTAACTGTAAGTGTACAGTTATCGATAAGGTTGCATCTATAAAGTATTTGGGGGTTGTTCTGGACCAACATTTGAACTGACACTCGCAAGTTGAATGTACGAGTAATAGGATACGGAAATTAATTTGGATATTTAGGAAACCAAGACATGTCACCTCTAAAAAATTACTAAATCAAATATATATTGCATTGTTACAATCCATAATAGGGTACTGTATCTCAGTCTGGGGAGGTGCAGCTAAAACAAAATTATTAGAAATCGAAAGAAGTCAGCGATTTCTACTCAAAGTTATGTATTTTAAACCATTTCGTTTTCCATCTGAAGAACTTTACAAGTTGAGTGAGTTTCCTTCAATAAGACAGATATATATTCTATCAATAGTTTTACGGACACACAAATCTTTGCCTTTTAACTCAGAAATAATGACGAGAAGAAGAAAAGATAGGGTAGCAGTAACTAGATACGTAAAAAACAAATTTGCTCAGCGTCAGTTCTTATCGCAATCTGCTCATCTCTACAATAAACTGAACAAAGATTTGGATTTATATAACTTGAACACATACAAATGTAAAAGAGTAGTTCTTCGAAATTTGATTCTTCGACTGGTTCATATGGCCAAAATTTAATTTCACTTTCAGCTTTGTAACACATGTTCATATGAAAAAAGGTATACCAAATAACATATATTTGAATGTTTTTATAAAGTAGTTTTCATGATATCGACGTTCAAATATTTGTGCCTACTGATGAATCAGAATTTGTTACAGATGAATTAGAAACAGAAATAAAAATAAAAAAACTTTGTATTAAGAAAATAATCATATTTGAATAACAACAATAACCTTTTTTATGAAAACAATTATCAGCGATCATATCACGGAAAAAAATCTGATGAATTAAACAATAATTCTTGTAAAAATATTTTTAAACTCCAGTATTTATAATAATTCTTGTATTATATGGTAAAGTGAGAATAGCGGTCTTAATTATTAATTGAAATTACCAATCACATTGGTTTATTTATTAATACCTAACAATAAAGTAACAAAAATGTGATCAACTTTAAATGGCATTTTTGACAATAATCTTCCTTATCAACTTTCAAAGAAATATAGATTCTAGGTATAATTAACTAATAAGTAATAAGGTCAAAGTTAAATAGTTACTAAAAGACATATTTTCTTGGCTTTGGGCTAGGGACGGAGCTGCTTTCAATATCATCCATAAAGCCTTTTTCTTGTTGACGAGATCTTGAATTTTCGGAGGAAGATGGAATAATCATATCTTCAACAATGCTGTGAGACTGTTTTGTCCGCTTATCATATTGAGGCTTTTTAAACACAAAAATATCCTCATCGTCAGAATCTGAGCTATCATCTACGCTTTTCTGATGGAGGGTCGATAGGGCATCCCTGGTGAATTTTGGAGTTATAAGTCTTTCATCGATTGACGAAGTCTCCATCCAAAAGCTGTCGTCATCGGGAAGGTCGAGGTCTTGTTGGGTTGTATCCGTATCTTTTCCAGTCTGAATTTCGGTAGCAGATATTTGGCTACGTTTGATTAAAGAGCTGCACGTAGATTTCTTCGATGTCACCTTTCTTTTATCCGCGGATTTGACGTTTAACACAACAGAGTGGAGACTCTGTTGTTTATTAATGTCTTCTATGGTATAAAAACCAATGTGTTGACCGTGAGAACATTGAATGGCTTCTTGTGAACAATTGTCCAAGCTACAACTAAGTTCTCTCATAGCTAAAGTCTGAAGTTGATTGGCACTCCACACAACCTGATGTGTTCTCATGGTCCCGCGGAATCCCTTTAAATTTTCGGGAATCAGCATATCTTTCTCTAATATGCCCGACTCATAAACGACTTCTATAATAACTCCTGGACATCGTTCTTTTAGGTGTCTGACAAGAATTTCAACGTTTGGAATGTCATTCCCTCTCGCAACTATTTGATCAGCAGTTCGTTTTAGAACTGCTCCGACACCATCAGGAGCCCCTTTCCCGTATCCTTTTTCAGAATAATTCCACACTAATAATCGCAAACTAGAAAAATACCAGTGCATTTTCGCCATTATGTAAAATATTTTGCGATTACGATATTGCGCCGATGGTGAATCCGAAATAGAATGAAAGGTTGTTACGTCCGGCACCTCGTTTTCAAGAAATCGGAGAATTGGCTGTAAATGTTCCCAGATTGCGACGGCATCATGGCGCAAACATTCACCGATAGTACAGTATGACTGCTTACACAGTTTTCCATCTTTAATGTAATAAATAACAGAGGTGTGCAACGTTACTTGTTGTCTGGAACTGCCAAAATGGAACGACTGAATCTCAGAGGCATATTTTGTGTTATAATTTTTCACTAAAATGGCAATGTATGATGCATTCTTCAGGCTTCAGGTTTTGTTTCAATTTTTTTGTATAATTATATTGAGTTATAATATTTCCGCAGTGTCGCATATAAGGTACTAACAGGTTTTCGAAATGTTCGATTATATCTTTGGGATGCGCTGCAACTTTTGCCTTAATCGTTTGAAGCGTAGCTTTTTCTTTTCCATCTTTGATATAAGTTTTTTTTTTACTTTGTTCCAAATAAAGTAATGTGTTTCTTTGGTATTGTCAAATTCTTTATAATTAATGGCCTTATTTTTGCAACTATCACATTTCTTTGTCAGACAGTGAACATTCCTAGGATCACAACATAGTGATTGATACTCATTTACAGATTTTTCCACAATCAGATAATTTTTCCGAGGGGCTACAACGACCAACTCCATATTTTCATGATCTTTACATAAACATGTTTCACGAATATTGACGTTTGGTACGCGTACCCAAAATGGACGAAGCTTGCAAAATGCACTGTAGCTTATTTTGTATTGAGGATTGGTTTCAAGATACTTTTTATGTAGATTCTGCAAGCTGTCGCTAAGATATCGCTTCTGTTTTCTTATTTTTCCTTTGGTGACAAATTCTTTTTTTCCCGCGCACATTCTACTGTTTTCATCTTCTTCAAAATACACAGTGACATTTTCTTTAATTCCGGTAGCACAGGGTTCAACAACAATCTGTATTTTTTCATTCCCAGATAGATTTTCCTTTTGTCTTTTATGCACGTCTGTTACCCGTTTATCTTTTTCTAACCGTTTTATCTTTTTCCGGTAATTTTCATGTACTCTTTTAAGTTCCAGAATTTTTTGGTCTTTTAATTGTATTTCTTTAGTATATCTATATTGAAACTTTCGTAAAATATGTTTCCAAGGCGATTTCTTTTTAAGAGGTGTTTCCCGTGCAGCTTTTTTATTAACTTTTGGGCTGACGACACGTTGTGGAGACGATGCCATGCTACTTTGTGGGCTGGGAGTCCTTGGTGATTCTGATATCGAAGTATTTGGTGAAGGCGATATTATTCTCGAATGGACGTCAGCATTGGATGAGATATCGGTTTCATTTTCTGTTAGGTTCAAATCAATTCCAAGTGTCCTCTTTTGTCTTATTGTTGATCTTGTTATACGTGCAGAATGTGGTGAAAACTGAGTTAATACCTGTGATGAGCTGGGAATATCCGGAGATCTTGATATAATCGAAACTTCTGAAGATGATGGTAATTTCAAGGATCATTTATTTTGGTATCGTCTGCTGGATCACATTCGTCAATGATTTCCTCTTCTGAATGAATATCACGTTCTTTTAATAATTTCTTTTTAGCATACCATCTTCGAGTACTTTCTCTGCTTTTCTTCCTAGCTAATTTTTGTTGTTTCGGTGTCAAATTCTGAACTGATATGATTTTACCTTCTCTCTTTCTTTTCAAATATGTTTCTTTCATTTTTAATTTCCACAGAGCATACTTGTCTGGATATTTTCTTATATTTTCCATCCTTTTACGTTCTGCGATTCTCTTTTTCTCCTTCTTTTGATCTTTAGTTTGTGGTATTGTTATGGACTGTAATATTAAAATAACAGAAATTAATATTAAAATAAATTAGATAGAGATTAATGAATAAGTAGGTTTTTATGGTTGTTAATACGGAAGATTAATGTCAAAAGTACCATTTAAATAATACTGGTCTCAATTTCTTTACATTATTTTTAGTAATAAATACACTATTAGTTGTGATTGTTATTCTTAAATAATAATTATTAATTCTTAACTAAGACTAAGGCCTATCAAAAGTGTCATATGTAAAATAAATTTATACTCCTGTGATTTTTTAATCATTCAAAAGGTTGTATCTAAGTAAATATAATAAATAAGACTAGAACTACTGACTTGTACACGATCAAAAATTGGACAAGGAGTAGGCAACAAAAGCGCTCGTTTTGTGCTGGAGAGGCGAAAACTAATTCATTTTATGATTTATATGGGGTTTTGACCATATGAATCAGGCACAGATGAATCAGGATTTTGCCTACAATCATGCATAACTCATCATACATACAGACTTTAGTATTGTTATCTTTTTACATGAATTTATAACCCAAGAACACCTTACGAAACTCAGATTGAAGTTTTAAAACAATAAAATAAATTTTATAAAGTAGGCAGTGTAATCAGAATGCCACCTGAACCAAGCACAGATGAATCAGATATTTACCTTCGTAACACCGGGATCTAAGCCAAAAAGCCGCACGTCCGCCTTCTAGCTCGTTCGTTGCACGACTGGCGTCCTCCCGCGCAGGAAGCCAGACTCTCATTAATATTACCCGACCAAGTACGGTCAAGCGCAGCTTACGCCACATTAATCAGTATTATACGTCGGACACTTCTTAGTTACTTATTTATAAACACACTAACGTAGTTATAACTAATACCCATTTTTTTTCTATGAGGACAATTCATTTCCTTTCGATATAATAATTATTTATATTGATTTATCAAAGGGAAAATGCGACATCGATCATTTTGTTCCGGAAAATGGCAAACGGACGCGTTATATGAATCAGAAGAACAAACTTCAAATATTTTTATTCTGTACCTAGACAGCAATTATTTGAAAAATATATTTTGTCCCAGATAGAGATACAGATAAAACAGTCCAAAAAAAATACATGTCGTTTTGTTAGTTGGTTACAGAAAATATATCCATAGAAATAGAAAATTTTGTAGAAATAATACTAGTTTTTACGGAATCGAAATCTATCGAAAATTTTGTCTCTGAAGAACTACCCAAAAAAATAGTTACAAAGTATTTATATACTAAAACATATAACGACACAGAATGTTTATTGCAATATGCTAATTAATTTAATTTTATATTTATTATGTTGATATGTTGAAATAGGTTTTGGTGAACGAGAACTGTGACAATTTATACAAACTTACACATTCACACTCACACAATACACATATATATTTACACAAACACATACACACACACACACACACACACACACACACACACACATGCGCGCGCGAGCGTGCGAACACGCTCTCATGCTTTTTTATTAAAATTCAGAATTAATCTATTTCAGGTAATATGTAAATTGAAAATATTGATTGTGGTTTTGCCTAGTTTTTCAATCTAAACTAATGTTTAGAGTGAAAAACCTGGCACAAGTATTATTATTTACTTAATAGGATGGTCCCAACCTCTGTTTACAGTTACATACCACTGTGTTGTGAAATAAAGACTTTTTGATTTTTTTTTGATTATATACATATATAATTTTCTTCACAATCATCATCATCATTATAGCCGAGGAATAACCTGCATTACATATATCGACTTCCTGGAGGTTATCACTATGTACGAGTGTATAATTTTATTTAAAAATCTTTGACACTTACAAGAGGTATTTCCTGTATCGTAATGACTCGGAATAATTACAAATATACCAAATTTGCTAAGTGTGGGAGTTAGTATTGTAGTAGTTAAACAATTACTCTAAACGAAAAAGTTAAGGCTAGGTTAGGTTAGGTTAAAACTCTAAAGTAATCAATAAATCCAATTGATTACTTGATTAAAACTATGTCTAAGTCTAACTGGACTTTAATAGGCTGTTATGAATTAATGGATGAACAATGTTGTGTAAAAGAATTAATACATATATCGATACCTAGACGCCACCTACCAGTAGGCACGTGGACCCAACCGTGTTTAATCAAATCTACCCTGCTAGCACTGCTTTTGGCGGTTGGGTGTGTATGGCCAGAAATTTTGGTATACATCTCAGGTCTCTTGTTCTTAAATTATTGTTAAGCGATTACCATTTTGTTCAATACTCTACCTATTTACTTGTTACGATTTTCGAGTACTTTAAATAACTTTCAAAAAGTGAGCAAAATTACCTAAAGTATCTTTATTGGTTAAGAATGAAGAAAAAGAAAGATATGTATGATATATATATGTGGAATAAATGAAAGGTGGTAATATACGAGCTATTTTCACGAGCTTTCAATATCTGTCTGAATAATTGAGTAATTCAGCGTACAGTAAGAGTCTGGTATGGGTAATCTATCTCAATTGAATTGATGTCTTTAACAAGATGAACGGGGAAGTGACGATTCCACTCGTATTACTTTGCTTTTATATTTTAATATATTTAACGTCGATGTATATGTTTATTTCTCCTGTTTTGTGCAAGTATATCCACTCCATATCATCTCCTGAGTATTGTTTTAGGCGATATGGGAAAACAAACGTTAAGGTTTGAAGCAGCTTCCTCAAAAAATAAAAATGAAAATTTTGGTTGGCAATGTGCCAGGCAAGGCCAACATAACAGGCCAACTACATAACACGTTCCTAAGTATTTATTCCAGTAAAAACCGTACACTTTTGTATCTGCTGTGTTTCTTATGTCATCAGGAGAGATCCGGAGATTATTTTTATTGGAAATAAGGAATTCCATCTTACTTATCAGAGGTGAAAACACATCTGCATTTTGATTCTCAACCGAGTATAGATGTAGTAACTGTGGACCACAGTATCCACTTACCATCGAGTGAACTCTGTGTTCGTTTGTCACCTTTATTCAATAAAAAAAACTTTATTGCACACTGGCTGGAAACGAAGTTGTGACGAAGTTTGGAAACGAATAAGTGTCGATATCATTTCTTTTCTGGGCAACTTTTAGAACGTCGGTTTATTGCAATTAATAAATCAAATACTACATATAAAAGGTGCATCATACATCCATTAACGGAAATGAACATGTGTGCAAACAAAAGCTTCTAGAATGACTGTTTGGTTAGCTTTCAGATTTCTTTTGTATTTTTATTAATTTTTTTTTAATTTTTTATACACACATGTTAACAGATATAAATGTATATAAACAAGAAGGGAAATAAACAAAATTGACAAATTTATTGGCAATATGCATTTTTAAAACCTTTATCAAGCGATGCAACAAACAAAATAAGGCCATGAATAGTTAAAAGAATATAATTTAACTAGTTGTAACATTATTTTATTGATAAATTATAATCTCCTCTCGTCATGTAGATACATTCTAAGAGAATAGGTTACCTGATTTCATAATCCTTTCGTTTCATAGATTTAATAAATGATATAACTATGAAAATGACAATCTGTGGCAAAATCGATTTTATAAGAAATCCATTGGGGATTCCTACGTTCACTTTAACATGACTTATAGTTTGTAATGTGGATGAATGGAGTATACACAGATGACAATTTACCAGCCAACCGGGGCAGCTCAATGGAATGGCTTTGAAAATTATGAGCTGACGAAGATGATGGGAGAAATAAATATCATGATATTAGGATTTGTTTAACTTTACACACTTAAGTTGACTTTTATATAAATTGAACGAAAGTTTAAAATGTTCCCCCGTACTTTAAGTGACTGACTTAATCTTTATGTTAAGCTTCACTTGACCTAAATGTCTTAAGTATCAAGGCGTGAGATTTTTCTTTTACTTTTCTTAACAAACTTAACATTGTCTACGTACATCTTTTTATCGTATTTGGCTTAGTGTGACGTATTTCGGTGTATTGTGTAAATGAATCATAGATGGTTATTTGGCCGGTACTGTTTTACATTAATATTTAATTTTACGTTCCAAAATATTTTTACAATGAAAATACATAAAGCTACCGCCCCTACAAATACGCACCACATTATTCGTTTACTATACAAGAAAAGTATTTGTTTATGGTCCTTGGCTTAAATTCTAACTGAAGTCAATTTTTGCCCTAAAACACCAAGGACGTCATTATAATCCAACCTAAGTCCATAGCTGAATACAGGAATCCCTCAAGGACCGTTCCTTGGTTTGCCACAAAGTTTGGTTCTGAGTTACCTGTTGCTGTCTGCTATGATAAGAAGAATGTTGATGAATACTTTCTGCATATTTTATCAGGTAAAATCTCTGTATAGTGGGGGACTGCCTTGCACTTTGTTTAAAAGTACTAGGTAGCCATTCCAGAACCTTTTCCCTCATCGGTTGTCAATCATCAACTGATCCATTAGGCTAAGTATGTTACTCTGGTTCTACGACGGATATCATCATTTATAAGTCTTTTGTTCAAAAAAAACTTCAAGCATGGTCTTTTCCATAGCTTACTGAGTGTGACCTATAGTTTTTCCATATGGTCCGCAGTGAAGGATCCTATCTCATGTCTATAATATATCATCACTGGCAACACGCACTGGTTAATGCCGGTATTTACAAGCAATTTCGAGCTTTAACTCAAACATTACTATGTTAAAATTTGTGTAATTATAGTATATAATCAAATTTTGACATTGTAGAATTGCTCGAGATTGCTTCTGAATTTCACGCAGTTCGTTGGTTTTAGTGTATGGTTGTGTAGTTTTTCTGTATCTCACATATTATATAAGAGCTTCTGGTTTTATCGTATATGGGTTGTATTGGGTTCGTATAGTTTCGAATGAGTTACTTAAGTAGGTCTTGTGGCGCCTGAACATGATCTATGAACTTGATAGCTACTAAGAAATCGTTCAGAAAAATATCTTCATTATTTACTTATTTTTATAGAAGAGGGGGCTAACGTGCATGCGGATTTTTTATAGGATAGGGTGACAAACGAGCACACAGTCCACCTGATGGTAAGTGGTTGCTGTGGCCCATAGACGTCTACATCCATCTTTGATTAAGAATAAAAATACAGATGCATTGTCACCCATGAGGCTTGGTCCTCATGGGTGACAACGCATCTGTATTTTTTATTAATACCGCCGTCCATGAACAACCGCAACATCAGGGAAATTGCAGGTGCGTTGCCGGGCTTTTAGAAAGGAGTAAGCTCTTTTCTAAAAGGTCCTTAAGTCGTATCGGTCCGGAAAATTCACCAATGGTAAACAATTCCACTGAAAATTTGTGTGCGGAAGAAAACTCCTAATAAAATGTAAAATGATGGACCATCAAGCATCCAAATGGTGAAAATGGTATCGTGAATTTTGACGCGATGTGCATTCGTGAAATTTGGCGGCTGAAATTAATCTAAACAGTCCCTCAGAGCACTTCCCGTGGTAGATGTGATAAAAAATCCCTACGCAGCGCCAGAGAATCGAGCATAATACAAAGATCCCGTTCGTTTACGATACGAAGCGCTCTGCGCTGGATAGGGTCAAGTGGAAGGAGCCGGCAGGAGGTTGCCCCGGCCCAGAGGTGAGAACAATTTTCCATGTGAGGCCGGGCTTGTTCTTTGTAAAGTTGCAAGCGATGTGCCGGCATGAAATACTGTTCCGCTCTAATGAACACGCCAAGCTTTTTAGAGGCCGATTTGACCTTCCCTTCCAAATGACTACGAAAC